CAAGGAGCAAGCATCTGTTAATTTCATGGCTTCAGTCACCATCTGCAGTGACATTGGAGCCCAAGAAAATAAAGTCTCTGACTGTTTCCATTATTTTCCCATCTATTTGCCATGAAGTGATGGGACCAGATGCCATGATTTTAGTTTTCTGAGTGTTGAGCTTAAGCCAACTTTTTCACTCCCCCTTTTCACCTTCCTCAGGAGGCTTTTTAATTCTTCAATTTCTGCCAAAATGGTGGTGTCATCTGTGTATCTGAGGTTATTGATATTTCTCCCAGCAATCTTGATTCCAGCTGGTGCTTCATCAAACCTGGCATTTCAGTTGCATAGAAATGTACTCTGCATAGAAGTTAAATAAGCAGGGTGATAGTAAACAGCCTTGACGTATTCCTTTACCAATTTGGAACCAGTCTGTTGTTCCATGTCCAGTTCTAACTGTTGCTTCCTCACCTGAATATAGGTTTTGCAGGATGTAGGTAAGGTGGTCTGGTATTCCCATCTCTTGAAGAATATTTCACAGTTTGTTGTGATCTACACAGTCAGCAAAAACAAGACCAGGAGTGGATTGTGGCTCAGATCATGAACTTCTTATTGCCAAATTCAGACTTAAATTGAAGAAAGTGGGGAAAACCATTAGACCATTCAGGTCTGACCTAAATCAAATCCTTTATAACTATACAGTGGAAGTGAGAAATAGATTTAAGGGACTAGATCTGATAGAGTGCCTGATGAACTATGGATGGAGGTTCGTGACACTGTACAGGGGACAGGGATCAAGGCCATCTCCAAGAAAAAGAAATGCAAAACAGCAAAATGGCTGTCTGAGGAGGCCTTACAAGTAGCTATAAAAGGCCATCTCCAAGAAAAAGAAATGCAAAACAGCAAAATGGCTGTCTGAGGAGGCCTTACAAGTAGCTATAAAAAGAAGAGAAGTGAATAGCAAAGGAAAAAAGTAAAGATATACCCATTTGAATGCAGAGTTCCAAAGAATAGCAAGGAGAGATAAGAAAGCCTTCCTCAGCCATCAATGCAAAGAAATAGAAGAAAACAATAGAATGGGAAAGACTAGAGATCTCTTCAAGAAAATTAGAGATACCAAGGGAACATTTCATGCAAAGATGGGCTCAATAAAGGACAAAAATGGTATGAACCTAACAGAAGCAGAAGATATTAAGAAGAGGTGGCAAGAATATACAGAAGAACTGTACAAAAAAGATCTTCACGATCCAGATAATCACGAAGGTGTGGTCACTCACACTCACCTAGAGCCAGACATCCTGGAATGTGAAGTCAGGTGGGCCTTAGAAAGCATCACTATGAACAAAGCTAGTGGAGACGATGGAATTCCAGTTGAGCCTTTTCAAATTCTAAAAGATGATGCTGTGAAAGTGCTGCACTCAATATGTCAGCAAATTTGGAAAACTCAGCAGTGGCCACAGGACTGGAAAAGGTCCATTTTCATTCCAATCCCAAAGAAAGGCAATGCCAAAGAATGCTCAAAGTACCTCACAATTGCACTCATCTCACATGCTAGTAAAGTAATGCTCAAAATTCTCCAAACCAGGCTTCAGCAATATGTGAACCATGAACGTCCAGATGTTCAGGCTGGTTTTAAAAAAGGCAGAGGAACCAAAGATCAAATTGCCAACATCTGCTGGATCATTGAAAAAGCAAGAGAGTTCCAGAAAAACATCTATTTCTGCTTTACTGACTACACCAAAGCCTTTGACTGTGTGGATCACACTAAACTATGGAAAATTCTGAAAGAGATGGGAATACCAGACCACCTGACCTGCCTCTTGAGAAACCTGTATGCAGGTCAGGAAGCAATAGTTAGAACTAGACATGGAACAACAGACTGGTTGCAAATAGGAAAAGGAGTGCGTAAAGGCTGTATATTGTCACCCTGCTTATTTAACTTATATGCGGAGTATATCATGAGAAACACTGGACTGGAAGAAGCACAAGTTGGAATCAAGATTTCTGGGAGAAATATCAATAACCTCAGATATGCAGATGACACCACCCTTATGGCAGAAAGTGAAGAAGAACTAAAGAGCTTCTTGGTGAAAGTGAAAGAGGAGAGTGAAAATGTTGACTTAAAGCTCCACATTCAGAAAACAAAGATCATGGTATCCAATCCCATCACTTCATGGCAAATAGATGGGGAAACAGTGGAAACAGTGACTTTATTTTTCTCAGCTCCAAAATATCTGCAGATGGTTATTGCATCCATTCCTTGGAAGGAAAGTTATGACCAACCTAGACAGCATATTAAAAAGCAGAGACATTTATTTCCTAACAAAGGTCCATCTAGTCAAGGCTATGGTTTTTCCAGTAGTCATGTATGGATATGAGAGTTGACTATAGAGAAAGCTGAGCACAGAAGAATTGATGCTTTTGAACTGTGGTGTTGGAGAAGACTCTTGAGGGTCCCTTGGGCTGCAAGGAGATCCAATCAGTCCATCCTAAAGGAGATTAGTCCTGGGTGTTTATTGGAGGGACTGATGCTGAAACTGAAACTCCAATACTTTGGCCACCTGATGCAGAGAGCTGACTCATTTGAAAAGACCCTGATGCTGGGAAAGATTGAACGTGAGAGGAGAAGGGGACGACAGAGGATTAGATGGTTGGATGGCATCACTGACACAATGGACATGGGTTTGGGTGGACTCTGGGAGTTGGTGATGGACAGGGAGGCCTGGCGTGCTGTGGTTCATAGGATTGCAAAGAGTCGGACATGACTGACTGGCTGAACTGAACTGAGCTGACACAGTCAAAGGTTTTAGCATAGTCAATGAAGCCTATGTCTTTCTTGAACTCTCTTGCTTTTTCTATGATCCAACGGATGTTGGCAATTTGATCTCTGATTCCTCTGCCTTTTCTAAATCCAGCTGGAACATCTGGAAGTTCTTGGTTCACGTACTGTTGAAGCCGAGCTTGAAGAATTCTGAGCATAGTCTTGATAGTGTGTCACATGAGTGCAATTGTGCAGTAGTTTGAAGACTGTTTGGCATTGCCCTTCTTTGGGATTGGAGTGAAACAGAATTTTTCCAGTCCTATGGGCACTGCTGAGTTTCCAAATTTAGCAGTATATTGAGTGCACCACTTTAACAGCATAATCTTTTAAAATTTGAAATAGCTCAGCTGGAATTCCATCACCTCCACTAGTTTTGTTTGTAGTGGTGCTTCCTGAGGCCCACTTGACTTCACCCTCCAGGATGTCTGGCTCTAGGTCAGTGATCACACCATCATGGTTATATGGGTCTTTAAGATCTGTTTTGTAGAGTTCTTCAGTATATTCTTGACACTGCTTCTTAATACTCTTGTCATTAAAGTTAATGAGATTTATTATTAATGAATCTTATGCTCCTTTCTAGAATTCTGTTGTGTCAATCTGAATGCCAGCTCCCTCATTTTGAGATATAACATTTTTATGACATATATGCTTTAACTGTTCTTAATGCTTCCTTCAGAAATGTTGTATTTGCAATTCTTTCCCTGAGAACAATCTTTCTGGATTACCTGGTATCTAGTGTCTTACCATCATTTGAGACTTTATTGACTGCTAATACTTAATACAGGTTGCTCTCCTGTTTCCCTGGTTTGCTATTTCACAGTATTAAAAACTATCAATACTTAAAAAAAAAAAAACCCAAAAACTGGTTTGAATATTGTTCTTTCAAGTTTTTCATCCTTAAGCAAAATTCAGAAAATGGTGTTCTAACCTTAATATATGCCTTGCACAAATATTGCTCTGTTGTTTCCCTAATGTAAAAGTGAGCTTCTGCTTTTAGGAAAATAATAGGCTTATGGTCGTATCTCAAAATGCTAATAAATGGTTATTTTTCATAAAAAGAACTATCTTCTCTGATGACACAGGAAGTATACATTAACCATTTCTATTACATTCCAAAGTCCTATGTCCCAAGGAAAATTATTTGTATGAGCAGAACTACCCTCTTTTTCAGGGAATGCAATTTTTATTTGAAAGAAGGAATGACACTGATCTATAAAACTTAGTGAAACAATGAATTACTTTTTTAAAATCTTAACATTAGTACAAGTGACATCCAGTGTGCAAAATAGGCTTATGAATTTTAATATAACAGAATAGGAAATAGTGATATTGTTTCAGGTCCACTGAGAAAATAACTGTTAAAAAACTATCACTTGCGTAGCTTTAGTTTTGTATCAAAGATACACATCCACAAATAACAGGAAAGGTTATTCAAAATATTACTCCTACATTGTATGGTCCTTTCTATTTTCATAGATTTGAATCAAAATAACGGATTCAATTCAAAAGCAAACATAAAATCCAGTGAGACAGCAAGGAAAAGACTTGCAAAAATATAATAATGAAATAACTTCCACTGTCCCCACTATAGAGTTTATTTAGAGAAATAGTTATTTTTCATATAAAAATCATGGGTTATTAACATTATTCTAAATAAATTATTAAAAAAATTTTAAATTGTTATTTCTACTATGGAAAATATCGACAGAAGTAACCACTTAAACAAAATTATCCTTGGGGTCCTCACTAATTTGTAGGACTGTATAAATATCCTGACCAAAATGTTCTGAAACTATCTGACTCCACAGTCGCTGCGCCAGGACTCAGGGACAGTGTGACTGCAGAATTCTCGGTGCAGGAGAGGAGGGATCAGGGCAAAGTCCCAGATGTCCCACAAAGTACCAGATGTAGTTCTCACGGTCTCAGCGTCTCAGAGTCAAGGGCCTTGTTTGCGGCGGGGGTTGTCTGTGTTGGGATCCCTAGTCTCCTCGAGTTTCACTTTCTCTTCGCAAATTGTGTTGTGCCTTTCTGCCGGGACACTCGTGTCGCGGCCCTAGTTCTCACTCCCATTGGGTGTCTGGTTTCTAGAAGCCAATCATCGGCCCTACGGTTCCAGGTTATAAAGTTTCTACCGGTTTCCACGCCCACCCCCACCTTCCACCGAGACTCGGTTTCTCCCCAGACCCGGAGGATACGGGTCATGGGGCCGCGAACCCTCCTCCTGCTGCTCTCGGGGGTCCTAGTCCTCACGGAGACCTGGGCCGGTGAGTGCGGGGACGGGAGGGAACGGCCTCTTCGCGGAGGGGCGAGGGGACCGCCCGGGGATCCGGGGGTGGGGGGGAGGACCCCCAGGGAAGGAGCCGCCCCGCCGCCCTCGCTCAGACCCGTCCTGTCCCACCTGGTCCCGTCCTGCCCCTCCCCTGCTTCCCGCCCCCTTTTCTCTCCCCCAAGAAGTCCCGGTCCTTCTCCGACCTTGTCGGTCTCACTTGCCCCTAGCCCCCTCCCACTCCCGGCCCCATCACCTCTGACCCGGGACCCGCGCCAGGAGGAAGGCCGGGCCGGATCTCACCCCTCCCCGCCCCCAGGCTCCCACTCCCTTAACTATTTCTGCACCAGCGTGTCCCGCCCGGCCTCGGGGAGCCCCGTTTCTTTGCCGTCGGCTACGTGGACGACACGCAGTTCGCGCGGTTCGACAGCGACGCCCCGAATCCGAGGATGGAGCCGCGGGCGCCGTGGGTGGAGCAGGAGGGGCCGGAATACTGGGAAGAGATTACACGAGATGCCAAGAAAGCTCAACAGGGACTGCGATCAGGCTTGAACACCCTGCCCGGTTTCTACAACCAGAGTGAGGCCGGTGAGCGACGCGGACCCGGGTCCAGGTCACGACTCCTATCCCCAGGGACTGGCTGGGGTCGCCCCGAATCTCTGGGTCCGAGGGTCACCCCGACATTGCGGGACCCTCACCGCCCCCCCCCCCCCAATTCGGGAGTAGGCGGGGGCGGGGCGGGGACTTGACCCGGTTTCATCTTCAGTTTGGGTTTAATCACCGCGGGTGGTCGGGCGGGTCAGGGTCTCATACCCTCCAGTGGGTGTTTGGCTCCGACGTGGGGCCGGACGGGCGCCTCCTCCGCGGGATCTGGCAGAACGCATATGAGGGTGCGGATTACCTCGCCCTGAACGAAGACCTGCTCTCCTGGACCGCGGCGGACACGGTGGCTCAGATAACCAAGCGCAAGTGGGAAATCTCCGGTGAGGCTGAGTTCCAACGGAACTACCTGGAGGTCAAGTGCGTGCAGTGGCTCCGCAGACACCTGGAGAACGGGAAGGACACGCTGCTGCGCGCAGGTACAAGGGGCACGGGGCCTCCGTGATCTCCTTTCAGGCTGGAGCCGGCTTTCCACTAGGAGAGGAAAATGGGGTCCTTCTGGGAACACCGCCCCAACTTCTTGTCTGGAGCGGGTCGGGGGGGGGATCTCCCCATGTTTTCATATTCTGTAGAAGACAGTGACATGCCAGTGGCCCCACTTCTCTGAAGGACAGTTAAAGCATTCAGTGTTTTGGAGAATCAGAAAGGCATCCCTGAAATAACTGGTCAGCGGTTCCCTTTGACTCTGACTGCCATCTTGTGAACCATGACTTTCTCTCTCAAGGCCTGTTCTCACCCTGAGACCATCTTAGGAGGCCAGACTCCAGCTTTTCTGAGACATTCAGCCTTCACCCAAATCAGGACCATTACTCTGTATTTTCCCCTGACATGGAGACTCCTACCTTGGCACTCACCCTGACTCCAGAACTTTCCAAGAACTAGGAGTTTTGCCCAGACCACAGATTCCAGGCTGGTGTCTGGTGTCTGTGCTGCTTCTTTTCAAACCCATTATCTCACCCGTTCTCAGTATGGTCACGTGGTTCTGTTTCAGTGGCCCATGGAGTGTGAATTTTCTGATTCTTCCTCTTCAGACCCTCCAAAGGCACGTGTGACTCATCACCCCATCTCTGACCGTGAGGTCACCTTGAGGTGCTGGGCCCTGGGCTTCTACCCTGAGGAGATCTCACTGACCTGGCAGCGTGATGGGGAGGACCAGACTCAGGACATGGAGCTTGTAGAGACCAGGCCTTCAGGGGATAGAACCTTCCAGAAGTGGGCAGCCCTGGTGGTGCCTTTTGGAGAGGAGCAGAGATACACGTGCCATGTGCAGCATGAGGGGTTTCAGGAGCCCCTCACCCTGAGATGGGGTAAGGAGCGGGTAGGAATGGAGCTTCCTCTCAGATAAAGCAGGAACCCTTCTGGACACCATCAGCAAGGTCAGAACTGAAGCCTGAAGTCTGGCCCCTTCCCTTTCTTCCACAGAACCTCCTCAGCCCTCCGTCCTCATTATGGGCATCATTGTTGGCCTGGTTCTCCTAATGTTTGCTGTGGTGACTGGAGCTGTGATTTGGAGGAAGAAGCGCTCAGGTAGAGAAAAGAGGGAGGGATCTGAGTTTTCTTGTCTCACTGGGTGGGTTTCTGGCCCAATGGAAGTTTGGCTGCCTCCTTTCTGGAAAGTACCCTCCACACACTTGTGGAATCTGAGGTGATGCTAAGACTGGCCCTTTTGTAAAATACATGTGAAAATGAAAGACAAATTTTTCATCTTCATAATTCCATTTGGGAGCCTGTTTCTCAGCATTTGAAGGTCAGAAGGGAATGTGCCTGCTGAGGACAGACCTCCAGGAAGACAGGTGGTCCAGTCCCCTCACGTCTCCTTCCTTCATGTTCCTGAGCCTATCCTGGATTTTTGGTCACAGTTCTGAAAAGTCCTTTGTCGTCCAGACTAGGGAGTTCCTCTAGAGTCTCATGACTCAGTCTGCTCCATGGTCTCTCACGTGATACTTTCTTCTCACAGATGAAAACGGAGGGGGCTACACCCAGACTGCAAGTAAGTACAGTGTGAAACCCTGTGACGGTGTAGACAGGAGGCCATGGGGGGCTCACCCTCCTCAAAGTGCCTTCTCTAGTTTCTCTCCTGTGGGTTCTGACCACATCCTGGTCTTGTTCTCCCCCAGGTAGTGACGGTGCCCAGGGTTCTGATGTGTCTCTCACGGTTCCTAAAGGTGAGATCCTCAAGAGTCTAGATTGGGAGAGGAGTTGGAGCAGAGGGGACACACTGGGTGGTGGGGATCTTTGAGTGGGACATGTGAGCATGTGGGGGGCTGTGGAGAATGTGAGCCCTTACTGACTGACCTGAACTGGTTCCTGATTCTTTTCTCTCACAGTGTGAGACAGCTGCCTTGTGGGGACTGAGTGATGCTCTGTCCCACTTTGTGACGTCAGATCCCCGGACCCCTCTTTCTGAAGCTGCATCTGAATGTGTCTGTGCTCCTATTAGCATAAGATGAAGAGGTGGGGAGACTGCCAGCCTCTTCCAATCCAAACTCTGGGATTTAAAAAGCGGTACCTAATAGTCACAGCCTCGATTCTTTTCTGAAGAGAAAATATCATTATGTGTAGAGTGCAGACTGGTGGATGTGAGAGGGAGGGGTGATCAGATCTTGTGGGGGAAGTACAGGCAGCACTGATGTCAGTGTGAATGGATAATGTACTGTAGCTGCCGTGAGAGAGCAAGTGGCCTGAGTTCACATTAATAAATATAGAATACAGAGGCATCTACACTCATCATTCCTTCATCTGATATTTGTTGTGTGCCAAATAGATGACGCTCTATATTTGCATCTGGGAAACCTCAGTGAACTAACAACAGACACACTTTGTTGGCCTCGTGCCCTATGTTCTGGTGAGATGGGGCAGAGTGAGACTATAAGTGAGGAAAGTGTCTTCCTAGAGACTGGCAAGTGCTCTGAGGAAGGTTACCGAGAGTAGAAGTGTGTGGGTACAGGGAATGTGGCTGTTTTACTAAGTTGGTCAGTGTAGGCCTCGTTGAGGAGATGATATTGGAGTAAAGATGTGAAGGACGTGAGAGAATGTCCACTAGGATGTCTGGGGGAAGTTCTCTCCAGGCAGAGGAGACGCCAGTGCAAATGCAGGAGGGCTGGAGAGTGTCTGTGATCAAGGAAGAGCCAGGAGGCAGGTGTGACTGGAGGAGCGAGGAATTGAGATGAGATCCAGTGTCTGGCCAGATCATGTGTGCCTCCAGCATATTGGAAGGTGTCTGGTGTCTGTGAAAGATGTGGACTCATAAGATGGTTTGAATAGAAGATGACCTGGTGTGACTGCTCACTAGGAGCGTCAGTCTAACTGCTGTGCAGAATCAGGAGGTGAAGGGTGATCGATGCAGTAGAGGAGCCTGTAGGATTAGTGCGGGGTCCAGGTGGGGATGCTGGTGTTCCCTGGACCCTCATTAAATCTAGACAGTTGGGAATAGAGCCTGAGAATCTGCATTTGTAATAAGGTTGATGCTGATGCTGCTGGTCTTCAGATCACACTTTTAGTAGCAACAAAGTACGTAGACCAGGATTCCCACATGCTGTGTATCAGCCTCACACACAGAGGTTGTTAAATCCCTTGGTCTTGTCCTAATACTCTGAGAAGGTGGTTCTGGGGAGAGACTGAGCATTTCGAAAAAGCCCCACAAGCAATTCTGACAATCAGCCAATGTGGAAACCCCTGAGGTATATGAGAGCGAGTGGCCAGAGAGGGGCGTTAAATCCACATTTAAAAGCATTTTTTTTCTTCAGAAAGAAAAGGGAATTTATACTGACAATTCATATTGTCAATTATGAGGTGTGATGTTGAGAAATACTGTTGTTCTTATTCCACCTGAAGACTTAGGCAGTGGTTCAGAGTTCAGTGTAATGAAATCCTTGCTCTCTGAAACTATTCTCCAGGTTGAGTTCTCCTCACTCATTCTGAGAGCTAACAATGGGATCCAAATTAAGTTAGACATACAGTACTATATATATATATATATATATATATATATATATATATATGGCTCCATGGGAACAGGATCCAGAGTGTCCACTCCAGGCCAAGTCCCACAAAGGAAGTTTTGTCCCCGTTGGGGCACAGTGTCACTGCTCACACAGTGATCCCCTCATGCTGGACGTGGACCCCGCGCTGAGGACAGCTATCACTGAGGCTCCTGACAACTGGGTGTGGTGTGACTGCCACTCTCGACACCCTTGTCAGATGCATCCTGCATAGTTTCAGCTTCTCTCTGTCACAACGGCCCGAGTAGAGTCTGACATGTGGTCACCTGAGTGATGGGACCTCACACACCTCAGTGTGTGCTCTAGCAAGAATATTTGGGAAAGTGGGTTTTCTTCT